CTCTCTCTCTCTCTCTCTCAGCTTTTTGAGTGATTCCACGGATCGGGAAACGCCGTCCACGTCCTCAATGAACACACCCTCCAAGACCACGACATCTAAGACAACGACCTCTAAGACAAAGACCTCTAAGACTAAAACTACTAAAACCACGACATCTAAGACCACGACCGACGCGTCGGGCCATACCGTCACCTATAGTGAGAAGCGATACAAATGCGATAAATGCACGAAAACCTATGGCCGCGACCGACACCTCAAACGGCACCAGAAGCGCCGACACGGCGTACGCGAGCCGTACAGGTGCTGGTGGAGTGGCTGCGAACGCCGGTACCCCAAAGAGTTCCGACTTAAGGCACACATACGGGACTTACACCGCACGCGTGACTATCCCTTCCGGTGCCGATACGGTCAGTGCGAGCGGCGGTTTGAGTGCGAACGGCTGCTCAATATGCACCGGTTTAGAGCCCACGACGTGGACTACCCGTACCGGTGCCGTCGCGGGCTGTGCGGCGTTACCGACGGTTTGGTTGGTTACACAACAATGAATGCGCTGCGACAGCACGAGTTTGCAAAGCACTGTCCGTACAAATGTCATTACGAGCGTTGCGATCGGGCGTACGATGCGATGGAAAAGTTACGGCAACACCGGCTCCGGTGTTGGTATCGGTCGGCCGCGAAGGACATGCCCTCCGCTTCCAACTGGTCCTACAGGTATGATATGATCGTTGGATCTAATGGTTTGACAAAATTAATGATTGTTTTGTTTTGATCACCAATAATAGGTCCGAAGACAGGACTTATGTGTGCAATGATTGCAGCGAAAGGTTTACCAATTGGACAGAACTGAAGACCCATATGTCCCGTTCCCACAAATGTGATGATAAGCGCGCGTCGGCCGCGCGGGACAGCCCATCCACGGCCGCCGCCACCGCCGCCGCCCCGATGTTCAACAAATCCAATAAGTATGTGATGTATGAGTGATTGTGCGGACAGTTGTAGTCGTTTTGATTAATTTGCTTAAAATCTCATGATTTAATTAATTTAATTACAACTTATAATTTGAGTAATTTACCTATAAATCATCGTTTAATTAATTTACCTGAATCTTATAATTTAATTAATTATTTAATTTGTTTTTTAGCATTTACTGCTTCATACTCTCGCTTATCATTTGCCATAATATTGTTTTAATTGTTTTCTAATTTAAGCTTAATTTAATTGATAATTTTTTAATTGTTTATTATTTGGTCAACACTAGTGGTCATCAAATGCACCATGTGTTTAAATGGGTGTTTAAAAAACCAATGTTTTTGCTCTCAAATAAAATCAAATTTTTATTAATTTAATTGATAATTTTTTAATTGTTTATTATTTGGTCAACACTAGTGGTCATCAAATGCACCATGTGTTTAAATGGGTGTTTAAAAAACCAATGTTTTTGCTCTCAAATAAAATCAAATTTTTTGTTTTTAAACTTATTTTTTGCTTAATTTTTCTTATTGTGCTTTAAATGCTTTAATTGGTTTTATTTTGCGGTGTTTTAACCTTGGTTGTTTAACGTGTGATCCTGATACTTTTTTTCGGGCTGTCTAAACACAGTATAATTATGCTTATGCTTATCGCTATACGCTTTCACTTTAATCATGATAAATGTTGTTTTTAAAATGCATGTTAAATATCGCACTAAAACAGCGATTCAACCGCCGATGTATTGCCAATGAATGACATACCGGTGCCCAACGATACTGACAACACGACCGGCACTTTCATTAACGACATACCGGTGCTCATCACGGAAAGGGCCGATCCATCGCCCGTACGGCCTATTCTGGACCCCTTAAAGCCGGTGCTGACGCCCATACCTACTGACAGTGAACGCAGCGCTGATAACACTATAACTAACACTATTAGCAATGAGTATGTGTTTTGAGATTAACATTACAATCAATTGTTGACAATTAACTAAACACTAAACAAATGATTGTTTTTTGAATTGTATTAAATAGCTGTCCAATGAGTGGCGAAGCGAGTGATAATCCGCCATCGAGTGGCCACAGCGTTGATAGCGCAGGCACTGGTCGTCCAACACAGGGCTCACAATCGCAACCGCTATACAAATGCGATGAATGCGACCAACAATTTCTGTTTGGACCCAATCTGGCCGACCATAAGGCCTGCGCCCACTCGACGACCCGCCAGTACGGCTACGTATGCCAGCCGTGCGAACACGCGTTCGCCAATCAAACGCTGTTGGATATACACGTGCGGGACATACATGTGATGCTTAAAAACACTAATAATGACAACTCGTTTCACAAGTATTTTTGTTTTGCAATGAAATGTTTTAATAAATTGTGTATTAATTGAATTTTTTCTGTATTTTAGTAGTATATGTGCGCCGACACGACCGCCCAGTGCCGCCGCTGGCCATCCGGTCACTTCCTATCCGCCGATTGTTGATCTCGACAGCGATTCCGCGCCTGAAGACTGCGCTTTCAGTGACGGGTATATTTGATACTCATTGCACACATATATTCACTCGTATTGTAACCTTATTTGATCCGACAAATAGGCCGTCCGACGGGTCCACCGATGATAACGCTGTCACCGATACTACCGATTCCGAGGAGAGCTCCGGCGATGACAACACATCCCTTGACAGCACATCCCGTGACAGCACATCCCATGACAGGTATTTCTGACATTCGTGTCACTCAATGTGTCAGTCATTGTTATAATGTTATATTTGATCCGATAGGTTGCCCATCACCACCAGTGCCGCCGCCGCCATCATTGAAAATACTGTCACCAATACTACCCGTGCCGTCGCTGAGCCATCGCCGAAGCACTCGGCAAACGTATGCCGCGAATGCGATCAATCATTCAAAAAGCTCGAAGACCTGAACCAACACAGACACGCTGTCCACTCCGTGCCGCCGCCGTACCGGTGCTCAGCCCAGGGATGCGGCAAAAGTTATTACACAAAGTGGCGGCTCAAGAGTCACTGTCGCGAACACAAATCGCCCAACAAGTGTCATCTGTGCTACAAGTGGTTACGGCGACCCCTGGATCTCATCCGACACAATCACGCCGTTCACCACTTGCCGTTGCCCTACCCGTGCGATTATGACGGGTGCGAAAAACAATTTATTACTAAAACACAGTTAATTTGGCACAAATATAACGCCAATCACTTTACGGCTAACGATCACGACATGCGGTCAAGCGATACGTCCACCGCCTCCTCAGTCCCAGTGGCCAACAGTGTGGCCAACAATAATGACTATTGGCTAATGGCTATGACTATTGGTTCGCTATTATTATCACCGGCGGACACAACTCCTACGGCTGTCGATGTGATTCCCGGTGCCGACGATACGATGGCCAGTCAGGCGCCGCCGTTCGACACCACACCGCAGATGACGGCAAACGACGGGTTAAAGTGCGACAAATGCGACGAGTGTTTCGCTCAAGACACTGATCTCAATGAACACAAGCGCCACATCCATGACCACCACTATCGGTGCGGTTATAGCGATTGCGACAAAACATTTTCAACCCAAGACCTACTGAATAGCCATACAGTAGACGCCAATCACACGCCGGACACTAACATAGCGGCCGATACAACACAGATCGCCGATGCGGTGATCGCCGCTACACCGGAACCGTTACACCCGGTGTCTGACCTCTTAGAGCCGCCCATACCTACCGATAGTGACCTCAGCGCTGATAACACTATAACTAACACTAATACTATTAGCAATGAGTATGTGTTTTCAATTATCATTGATATCATTAGTTAAACAATTTGTTTTTGTTTCATTAAATAGCCATACAATGAGTGTTATGGAGATATCGGCGCCAAACAACACACTCACTATCGACATACCAGCCCTCCCGGTGCCCGCCCTAGCAGTCAGTCCGCAATTGTTGGCTAATTATATGAACGCCAGCATTAGCTCAATCGACACCACATATCATAAGTATATTTATAATTCACTTATAAAACACAACTTAATTATGTTTAACACTAAACACTTACAGCACCGGCACTACTGGTCCTACACCGGGCTTACCGTCGCCTTTACGAGCCACGAGCCAAGTGTTGTTTACATGCGATGAATGCGACCAAACATTTATATTTCTGTCAAATCTGGCCGAACATAAGGCCTGTGCCCACGCGATCACATCGTCCGCCGTAACAATAGATAAAGCGATGACCACTGGAAACACTGTCACCGATACACCGACACATGAATCGGTGAATCAAACACTGACCACTACTGGTGTCAACACTTTACCCGCACCTAATAGCCGGGTGGATAACAACGGTGCCGGTGATACTACCAGCCGACCCGTTACTACCACTACCGCCGCCGTTGCGAACAAATCGCCGCCGGTTCCCGCGCCGGCATTCATGTGCGACAAATGTCACAAACGTTTCCATTTTGAACGCAATCTCAAACAACACGAACTCACAATCCATACAACCCATAGCCGCCGGCCCGACACCCGTACCGCTCGTTCTCCAGTCACACCCATAGTTAGTACGAGTGCGGCGATCGACACCACGACCTCCGATGCCGTTACTACTCCATCGATGGCCGCGAAGCTGGTCTACAACTGTGACAAATGTCCCAAACGTTTTCATTGGGGAAGTGATCTCAAGAAACACAAACTCTCCGCCCATAATAACATACCCCTCACCTACCGGTGCCGTTACGAGGGCTGCGCCAACGTCTACGCCACCAAAGCCTTGTTGTGTCAACACTTACGGGAGTTTCAAACTCATCGTATTATGGATAGTAAGCTAATGGCCGGCACTTCCCGGGGCCGAAACGAGACCCGCCGTCCGAGAGCTTTATTACGGGACAGTACTGTGTGTAGTGAGCAAAAGGCCAGCACCAGTACAATCACTCAGTTGTTGGTCACATCGATAGTCGACAGTCATATCACAGCTTCCATTACGACC